TGCACAGTCAGCAGCAGGGCGGCCTCTCGCAGTCAGCCTGTTGCAGGACCCATGGGCCTGTGCGGGAGAGGGCAGTGGGGACTGCGGAGTGAGGGGGCAGCGCTCGGCACAGCACACTCACCATGGGGAATGTCACCCGCTCTGAGCCTGAAGTTCCCACACTGACTACAGTGTTCTCTCCAAAAATTTATCCTTAGTTTTTTTTTTTTTTGTCGGTTGAAAGGGACTCATAAAATAATCAAAAGTGAACCGTGTGAAGGAAGTCGCCAGATTAGCTTTGGGAAGAGGCTACTTGTATCTCACTCATGTTGTCCTTGCAGACAGATTTAATTGCAAGGAAAGACGGTGGGGGTGAGGAGGGAGAAAGCCAGCCCCAGGCCCTGTGAGGAACTGTGTGGAGTGTGGGCTCCGTACCGTCCCGGGACTCTACTACAAGTGTCTTGTCCTCCGGGCCTCAGACGGCTCCCGTCCTGCGGTCTCCCCCAGTCCCTCCTGCACTGGGTGGCAGTGATTCATGAGTCCCTGCAGTAACACTCCTGCAGCAGTGCCTGGCCCAGGTCCACACTCGCGGTGGGTTTTGCTGTTCTAACTGACACCTGCATTACAGTGTCGGGTGTTTACTGTCAGTTCCTCATGCTGCCTTGCTGTACATTGTATGCACATGGTCAGGGAAGATGTTTCTTCTCTCAGAACCTTGTTCTTCGTGGGAATCCCAGCCCATGGCCCTCTCAGCTCTAATCCAAGAACAGAGCTGGCGCTGCTGCATGCCCAGCTGAAGGTGTGAGTGGGAAGGCTGCAGGCCCGGCCATCCCCATGGTCCCGGATGCCCATTCAGAGCACAGGGATGCCAGTTCTGACTGTGCGTCCGGCCGTCTGAGTCATTTGTCAGTGTCCTTGCCTGCCAGCTTCTCTGTCCTTTCCTCTGAAATGGGGATTATCAGATATTAGCTATTGAGGAAACCAGGAAATAAATATGTGGAAAGTGGTCCTGGTGCTGAGCTATCCATGTCCTTGCCGTGGGCCTGAGCTCCTCTGCAAGTGGTACACAGAACTGCATGTCCAGCTGCCCGCTGAGCCATGCACATGTGTCTTTTCTCAGGGGCCGAGAGGTCCATAGATGACGTTGACTCTCTGTTGGGGGAGAGGCTGCACCCCGAGGAGCAGGAACTGCCTGCACAACTGCCCCTGGCCGAGCAGCTGAGGTAAGGGCATGTGCGGGTGGTCGGGGAAGGTGTGTGAGTCCCTGAAGCGGGCAGCTGGGCTGTGGGAACCAAGACCGAGTGAGGGCCAGGGAGCACAGGAACCCCACGGACATGGGCGCCAGGTACTCATAAAACATGCAGGGAAGAAAGAGGTGGCAGCTGATGCACTTGGATTGCTCTGAAGATCCTCATTTGCACTTTTCAAAAACAAATGTCTGGGTGGCCTACAGGAGCACTGGATGATGAAGGACAGCCCTTTAATTTGCTTCCTTTTCCTTTGCCACAGGAGTCTGTCCAAATATGTGCCTGAGTTCTGCTTAGGGGACCCCGGGATCTCCTCACAAAACCTGTATCAGGGCCCCTGTGAGTGCCCCACGCCTCTCTACAGCTCACATGGCTGCTTCTCGTCCTCCTGGGCTGTCGGTGCTCCTCATCCGGAAGCAGGAACGGGGGCTCTCGGAGTTAAGCCATAAGCTGAAAGAAAGGAGAGAAGTGTCACTGCTGCTGAAGGAGCGTCTGGAGGTCCTCCCGAGCAGAGATCACGCTGACAGCAACAAGGGCTGTGGCCACTAACAGGGTCCACCTGAGGGCTGCAGGCTGGGTGAGGAGCTGGCCCACAACCTCAACCCATATGGGGAGGCCTGAGGCCCTAATTAAGTTGAGCTGCTTTAACGTCCCCAGCTCACGGGACACTGCACTCTCAGAGTGACTTGTTTGGCAACTGTCCTGGTGCCTGTGTCACACTTAGAGCTGTGGCAAATTCAGGAGTGCCCACGAGGCAATGCAGGGGAGGAATACACAGTGTGGACATCACAGCATCGCAGCGTCCTTTGTCCCTGATGGAACCTGGGCTCTGTCCTGAGGGGACCACATCCATCGAGTCTGAAAGCTGAGATCAGGCTGTGGTCGGAGGCAGCCCATTAGAGTAAAAATCATTCTGCTCTAAACATGAAGTTTCCCAAACCCCAGCCTGAGTGTTTCTCACTAACTGTGTGTGACTGATCACTTCATCTCTCCTGAATTCCCGTCAGAAGAAAGCTCTCGTGGTCTTGGTCACCATCCTATGCAGGAAGAGAGCCGTCGTGAATGCACTTGGGAAAGCTAAGGCCCTCACCCTTTGGGGCTGGTTCAGGCCCTCGGTCCTGTAGGACCGGAGAGGCTTCAGCACCTCCCTCAGAGAGACTTTCCTGGTCCTGACGGCCCGGCCACTGCCTTTCCTTCGCTGTGAGCGAGGAGCCATAGTACTGGTTACTGGTAACTGAGGACCGCAGTGTCCCTTAGGTTTCCTGTCTGTGCTGTGCTTCCTGTGGGTTTGGGAAGATGTGTACTGACACGGTCCCATTCCGGTGTCACGCAGAATAGTTCCCTGGCCTAAACGTCCACTGTGTCAGTCCGGGCATCCCTCCCTCTGCCCCTCCCCGAGAGCCCCAACAACCAGGTCTCCGTGTATCCTCCCTGATGTGGTTTGCAGTGATTTCCTCCATTGTGTGGCTCCCATCTGAGTGATCTCAAGAGCAGAGGTCAGTTTTCTCAGTGTGTGACTTACACGTTGTTTCTTTCATGGACTGTGCCCTTCTGTGCTGGCTAAGAGATGCTGCAATCCAGGTCACATAGATTTTCTTCTGTGTTGTCTTTTCTCTTGGGAAAAGCTTTTGTTTTTCCCTTGACATCTGTCATCCATTCTGATTTAATTCCTGTGAAACTGTAAGGTCTCTGTCTGGAGCTGTGTGTGTGTGTCCAGTGCCTGTGCACTTGTTCCGTTTCTCTCATTACAGACTCTGCTTTCTGCGTGAGTGGCCCCGGCTCCTTCACGAGCTCCGTCAGTGAGGGCTGATCCTGGGCTCCGTTCTCAGGAGCTGAGGAGCGGTGCCTGTTCTCCCAGCCCCTGCCCAGTCAGAGCTTTGGCTTTGGCATCTGTCCTTCTTCTGTTTGTTCTTTTAGGTCCTCTGACTCCAAATAAACTTGAGAATCTATCTGATGTCTTCAGAGTTGTCTGCTGGTTTTACATTGTCACTGCTTGGAACTGCTAGATGGAGAACTGGAAAACTTTCAGGCTGACAGTCCTGAGCCTAACGCACATATGTGGATGATGTCTGCATTGATGTAGCTCCAATCTTGTCCTTATGCATGTTTTGCTAAGTTTGCACATTAGAACTTCATTCAATTTGCTACTATTTGTCGCTGGCACTGTGTTTCAGTTCAAATTCCACATATTCGTTCCTTGCATGCGTTAGAGGGCAATGGATTGGTGCTGCCTGTGGAGCCTGAATTCTTGCTATAGTTTCTTCTATTCCCAGCAAGTGTTTGTTGTTGATATTGTTTTTTTATTTTAAAGTTTTTAAAAGATAGATAGTCATGTTCTTTTCAGTGCTACAGAATGCTCTACATTTGAGTTCTGACACCAGCTAGGTACTTAATTTTGTTTCTTTCAATGTTTGTTTTTTAATTTAAACACTTTTGTTCCCTCTTCCTTTTGCATTCAGTGTTTGGAGATTTCTGTTGATATTTTTGAGGTGATATGTTTTTTCCAAGTCATAGCTAGTGTGTTCTGATCTGGGCAAGGCCTTCTGCTCTTCTGCTGTGCTTGGTTTGTATCAGTGGCTCCTCTGTCCACTGCCTCCCTTTCCCATGGAACTCTGGGTCTGTTCTGTGCACTGCAGTGTTGACTTGTGCTGAAAACGCTAAAGGTCTGCTTGGTCTGCTCTCCCTGCAAACACTGTCCTCTGCAGTTTAGTCATTTTCCAAATGTTTCTTGGAAGCCCGTCATGAGCAGCTGCGTGACGTGACTGGAGGCTGATCCAGGGTCCATGGAGGGTCTGTGTTTCTCTTCTAGGGTTGGAGCTGTAGTTCCCACAGATGAAAGTCTCCTGTGCTCCCCTTGTTCCTGTCTACTCCAGTGTCTTGCGTTCTCTCCCTCTCTCCTTCTGTCTCTATTTTTTGTTTTTTGAGACAGGATTTTGCTATGCAGTACAGGCTGGCCTTGAGCTCCCAGTGGTCATCCTGCCTCAGCCTCCAGAGTCCTGTGATTACAGGCATGGACCAGCACACCCAGCCCTTGGCATCCCCTTGATGGCTCTGCTAAAAGTCTGTGCCTGTGGTTCTTCGGAGTCGCTGCTCTGCTCCCACACAAGGGCGGTGCAGCTGGGCAGGCAGGTGTGGAAGGAGAGGAAGCAGGGCACAGGCCTGGGATGCAGTCTCCGGGTCTCCTGAGCCGGAGCCCAGGGCTGTCACCTTCCCGGCAGCATGTCAGTGTGCCTGCCCCCTCTGCCCTCTGCACAGCAGCCTGAGTTTCCCCTGTGTCCATGAAGTATGAGCAGGCGCACGGATGTTGAGGTAATGGAATGCTCGCGTGTTGCCTCAGAAGAGGAGACCTCATGCCCGCTCCTAACCCTGAGCAGATATTTCCATTTCTGTGCCAGGGAAGGATGGTGTCTGTGATGGGGGACGGTAGCCTCTCAGTGCCTGGCTGCTCATTTGTGAATTTGCTTAGATTCCAGAGAATTTGCAGAAATTCCAGAGGCGGAGAACAGCTTTACACTGGAAAGGCTCCTTGGGATGGACTCAGAGAAATCCCTGGCAATGTCCCAATCACTGTGCAACCACCCGTGTACACTCGGCTACTTTTCCTCATTGCTCAGCACATGCTGTGTTGTCATGTATGACCAGGCCCGAAAGCTGACTTCCCGTTGTGAGTTCTGCGCTCCCTTCTCCCTGGGCATTTCAGGTTCATCATTAAAGAGCTGAGCTTCAATTCAAAGCCTGTAGAGCAGTTTCAGAGGTGGAGATCCATCCTGTTTGAACTGCGCCAGACTCTGATGGACCTGCTGAACCAGGGTGGGCCTGCGTGTCACCTGGAGCAGAGCCACCAAAAACACCATGCAGAGTGGTGCAAGCAGGTCCAGAACCTCCTCCTCCAGCTGGGCCTAGGTGAGGCGGCCGCAGGCTGATCTGCCTTGATTTCTGTTTGCTCATCTCACATGTCTCATGACATGTGTAGCCCTGTCCTTGTCCCATTCAGGCAGGGAATCTCTGTGAGTGTCCTTCCAGAGGGCTCGTGTCACTCCTGGGGCTTTCTCTAGGGATTGGATGTTGTAGAATGTGGTGGTTGCATTTCGGGTGACATGAAGAGAACTCCCACTGTATAAATGATAGGAGGAGGATGGAGGGTGCTAGGGAAAAGCCAAAGTGTGGATGTTGTAGTCGGGCTTGTTTCTCCTTTCCTTAGTGAAAGGAAGCACAGTGGGTGGGAGCCGTGGTACAAGACAGGCGTGAGGAGTATTTGGCCCAGGATGACTCAGACCAAGATATTCACTCCCAAATAGGTTCCTTTTGTACATAGGAGCAGCATGTCACCCCAGACTGTCTGTACGGCTGATGCAGAGGTCACTCAGTTCAGTTCCCCTTGCCCATCTGAAAATCCTGTTCACCCATTCATGTCCACATGCTGAGGTAGGCGGTGGTGTCTCATGGGCGTGGGGGCCACACGCAATAACCATGTGGGTCCTTCTGAATTTGCTTGCAGAGCACCACTCTGATGGAGACGAGGAGGAGGAGATGGACTCCAGGTAACAGTGCACGTTTCAGGGGGGTAAGCAAGTATGACAGGAGAGGGGTTGTGCAAAACTCAAGGCTTGGGGTGGGGAGTGGCCACGGATTTTACTCTCAAGGGTGAGAAGAGCCCGCCGATGGCCATGGCCTCTTTCAGCCAAGCAGAGACAGTGTGACCTTTTAGCAAGGTGCTCGGTTTCCTCAGGGGCATTTGGAGAGGGCACTTGTAGACAGAGAGCCAAGCATTCTTCTCACGCTGAAAGAAACCTCTTGTCCTCCGAAAGGTCAGAGTCAGGATCCCACATTGTCTTTCTGAACTGTGGCCTGAGTGTGTGGGCAGCTGAGGCACGGGAAGGAAAGCAGCTGGGGCAGCCGCAGAGATCCATGCCGTGTCTGCGTATTGATGAGCGCAGGCTTAGAGAGCCCAGGTTCCCCTGCAGTCACTGCGAGAGCCTGGAGTCCGGAGCCTGTAGAACTCCCCTTGGTCCTGCACAAGGTGGGCCTGGCTGCAGTTCTCGCCGCGAGCTCCCTGTCATGACTGCTCCTCAGAGGGAAGGCTCTCTATCTTCATCCTTGGGTCATCTGGACTGCTCCAGGAGCGGGGGCTGCTCTCTCCTCCGTGTGTCTTCCTTTGTCTGTGTGCTTCTCTGTCTGTTTCTCACTCTGGCTGTCTTTCCCGTAGCAATCAGGCAATGCCCAAGTCAGAGAGCAGTGTGCTTCATCCTCTGTGTGGATGGCCCCAGGTGTTGGAAGTCACCCTGAAGCATTGACTGAAGCTGACCCAGAAAGCTGTGTTCTCATTCCTCCTAATTTCATCTTTTTTCCACCTGATCCCCACCCACCCCCGTCTCAGTGTTGAGCTGCGTGAGGAGGAAGTGGATGTCTTATCAGAGTCAGTGGCAGAACTGTCCTTCCTCGGTTCTGGGCCGGCCTTTCCACCAGTGCTACAGGAACATCACCTGAACACCGCCGCCCCTGTGGATGATCCTGAAGCGAGCCCTGTATGCCATGAAACCAGTGAGTCCCCTGTCATCCTGCTAGAAGTGCCGCTCCACTGTCCAGGGCTCTAGCTCTCCAGGGTCTCAGCTGAGAGAGGTGGCTGCAGCCCGCCCAGGTGTCCCCTTTGGGTACAGAACAGGGGCGGGGGTCTGTGGCTCTGGAGCTGTGCTGAGTTCCTTTTGCCTGGCAGGGCTCTGTCAGCCTGGGCCTCACAGTACAGAGCTCAGATCTGCACATGGGCCAGAGTGAGGAGAGCCGACAGGAGCCCCTCACAGCCCCCTGCAGTCTGTGTCCACCAGGCTCAGACCTCTTCCTGCAGGGGTCCTCGCGGGGCTTCTGTCCTGGTGCTGGGAGTGGCTGCTCCTGCCCTTTCCTCCCCTTGCTCTGCACATCTGCGGGGCCGGCAGAGTCCCCAGGTACTTGGAGGTGCAGTTGTGAAGCTGAGGCTCCCACCTCACAGCAGCTTCCCCCTCTGTGCTGCCTTCCTCAGGGCCTCTCTTCAGCCTGCCTTCCTCCCCCATGGCTGTGGCACTGTCCTCTTCCCAGTGCCAGGGGTTTTCTCCCTGTCGGGCTTTGGTTTCTGTCACGTGTCAACCTCAAGCATTCTTCTTCCTGCCAGCCCGACCTCACTGACAGGTAGAGAGCGGGGCTCCCTTCGACCCTCTCCACGAAACCCTGTCTTGTTGAGCAGGAGCCCCACGGCCCGGCCTCCTGCTGGCCTCTGTGGAGATAAAACTCAGGTTCTGTTCCTCTTTCTCACGATCTTTGGATCTTGGTCACAGAGAAGCGTTGAAATTTGTGGGTGCTTTTAGTCAGTGAATAAAGTTTTAGGGAGAGGTGATCTGTGATGTCCCACTGTGAATCTGAATGCTGCAGAGGGAAGGTAGCCATGACACCCGTCATTCCCCAGCCCCGGGGCAGACAGCACCTCTTCGCTGTGTGACCATCCTGTCTGCTGTCCCTGCTCTGCTGAGGTAGCAGAGGGCTGAGGTTGGTCTCCGGACCCAGCCACTGGCAAAGCGGGAGTGAGCTACACACGCCCTGGCATCTACCGTGTGTGGAGCCTGCTGTCACGTGAGCTCTGCCTGGTCTCGGCCATGCCATCCTGCAGGGCTCCTCTCTGTGCTAGTGCTGAGCATGGTGAGGTCAGCAAGGTCACCGACCTGCCCAGGCGTCTGCAGGGAGTGTGCATGGGGGGCAAGGCCCCTGTGCCCCATGTCCAACCTGAGGCTCTGTCCCTGGTGCTGCTGCCTCAGTGGTCAGGCCCAGGGCTGGGCTCGGGTAGGGTTAGGGTGTGGGTGCATTTGTTGTGACACTGTGTGTGTATTTTTTGCAGAAGCTGAAGACACTGGGAGAGCACAGGAGCAGAAGGCAAGCAAAGTGCTCGGGTGAGTGTGAACGTCACGGCCTGTGAGCCCAGGGACAGCCTCTGAGAGCGCAGGTGCAGGAAGAGCAGGAAGGGCTCTGTATGTCTACCTCCTCCTGCACCATCCAGGAATGGGGCCTGTTCCTGCTGCTGCTTCTATTGGTCCCCAGCTGCACCACTTCTCTGGTTTCCTTCCCAGTGTCATTCTGCCCAAGGGCACTGAGTGAGGTTCCCTGCACTCTCCTGTGGGAGACCGTGGGGAGGAGATGCTCCCCCGCTTTCCGTGAGGCTCACCTTGCTTGTTTGGCTGGGATTCCAAAGCTAGAAATGGAACTGGACCAAAGGAAGCTCATGTGAAATCACAGTACTGGAAGGAGGCCCTGAGGCTCGTGGTCTCTTTCGCTCAGCAGCGCCTCAGTGCCTCAGCGCCCCTGTGCTCTTAGTCAGGCATGCACACAGCACATGATCAAAGCACGTTACTTTGCTTGCTGGTCTTGTACTGTCATTGCTGGTATCCCTTTCCTCAGTGACCCACTCAGAATTCAGCAGAACTGCAAATGATCACGGCTTTGAAAAGTCACACACGCACATAGCACCATTTGTCCCCTGAAGGATTAAACTCAGGGCGCTGGGGATTTAGCTCAGTGGCACAGTACCTGCGCAGCAAGCACAAGGTCGTGAGTTCAATTCCTGGTACCGGAAGAAAAATAAAAACAAATACTAAAAACAAACAAACAAACAAAAAATAAACTCAGCGATGCAGATCTGATCTCTGCATGTGGCACATTAGCCCATGGTCAGGTTTGTCATAGGCACAAACCTGTGTCCACGAGGAACTAATTACTGCAGATATCACTGCTTGGTGTACTCAGATATCACTGAGTGGCATATGAAAATGCTTGCTTTTGGGTGTTACCCTGCCACATAGCTTGTGACGTGGTCAGCAAACACGTGGCAGCGTGGCATTGGAAGGGCTCCCTGGGATGTACTCAGAGAACTCCTTGGCAAAATCCTGATCATTCACCATCACCCCTCTGCACTCTGTGGGTCCTTTCTCTCCCTTAGGATGTCCTGGGTTGTCATTCTTGACCAGGCCAAAAGCTGAGTCCTAAGTGTAAATGTTACCTTCTCTCCTCCCTCTGGGATTTCAGATTTGCAATGGAGCTTCAGGCCCAAATGTGGACACACTTATGGACAACGTTCCACAAATGGAGGGACACCATCCTCTTCCTCCGCTGCAGCATTAGGGGCCTGCTGTCCCAGAAGAACCCTGTGAGATGTAAGGGGCAGAGCCACCAGCTCCATGAGGAGTGGCGCATGACGGCCACGCGCCTCGCCCTCCACCTCTGCCCGGGTGAGTTGACCCCTGGCCCTGCTCAGCCTCGGCTTCTCCAAGGTGCCCAGCTCACGGGAGAGCCCAGCAGACAAGCAGTCTTTCCATCGCTTCTGTCAGTGTCTCTGTTTCCCTTCGAGTCTGGGCCCGTGGGGGGCCTCAGTGGAGGAGCGAGCAGGTGTAGGTGGATGCGAAGCCACAGGATCCCTCTCTCACCTCCCTCCCTGGTAGAACGGGGCTCCTGGAGAGCAGCAGCATCTCCCAGCATCCTCACAGCAAAGAGGGGCGGCAGGGGGAGGCGGCTTAGATTCCTCACAGCCTGGGCTTGGTTTGAAGACTGACTGGGTGGAGGGCATCGTGGATTGTTCCAGGTTGCTTTTGTTTGTTCAGCATTTTTTGACACAAGGTCTCATTGTGCTCAGCACGCCTTGACCTCACCATGCATCCCAGGCTGGACTGCAACTCCTGTCAGTGCTCTTGCCTCAGCCTCCCTAGGGCTGGGATTGCAGGCCTGTGCCACCACTCCTGGCCCCTCCTGGATTCCGGTTTCCTCCCCTCTTAAGTAGCCAGGAAGCTTGTTGTTCAGTACTTTCAGTAGTGCAGTAGGGAATCTCTGTGAGTGCTTTTAGGTGGATCATGGGACTCCTAGGTGTAGCTTAGGGACTTGCTGTAGTAGAAGGTCCTGGTGGGATGTTGGACACACAAGCCTCCTCGGCAGGTAACAGGATTGTGTTCTCCCTAGTGGAATGAGAGGAGGAAGATAGAAGGCAGAGAGCTGTCCAGCATGGGGCTTCGTGGTAGGGAGAGCCGTGGTGAGGCGCAGAGGCACTGACTGTGCCATGGAGCTGCGTGACAGGAGGGAGGCGCGTCCAGCGCTCAGCTGAGCAAGATCCGTGAACTTGGCCAAGGCATGCACAGAGGATGCCAGGTGAACCGCGCATCAAACAGGGACCTTGTGTGTAGGCGGAACCTGTCATCCCACAGTTTCTGTGCAGTCCTCAGGGAGGCCAGGAAGTGCACTCCTCCCTGCATGCAGCCAGTGGGTGTCCCCATCCTGTGCAGTTTTCTCAGTCCCGGGTCCAGGAAGCTCAAATTCAGCAATGCTGTCTCCGCTCTGAAAGGTGTGTAATGGAAACACAGGCTGAAGATTTGGTCCATTGCAGAGAACCTGGACAGGGAGACCTGGCTGTGCAGCCATCCCCACAGGGGCGGGAAGAGGGATCCGCACTGAGCAGAAGCCAGTTCTCACACCCGGCTGCCCGCCAAGTCCCATCGGTGTGACCCGCAGCCTTTCACATGTGAGGCCCAGGCGGGAGAACAGGGCTCCTCCCACTTGTTCGATTGCTGCATGTTTGTAGTGCACAATATGGGAAACGGAGGCCAGATGGGGACGCCCTTGAGGATGGAGAGAAAGTTCGCATTGGTGAGATGGTCACACAGTGGGGTTATGGAACTTGAGCTCTTTGGAGGAATTCAGGGAGAGGAGCAGACTTCTTTGCTTCCAGCCTGGGTCTAACTAAATAGCACAGATCACACGAGGGTCCAGGATGTCCGGGTGCCGCCGTAAGCAGGTGCTGGCTCACCCCAGAGCTTCGTGTTGCTGAGTGAGTGAGCTTGTCTCACAAGACATTTGGGAAGGAACTGCATGATGCACCAGGTCCTGAGAGCTCCTTGCATCTGCGGCCCTGTTCGATCCGATCCCTGCAAGTCTCACATCCCCTGTGCCTGCCTGGCAGTGCCTTTAACCCCGAGGTTAGCTGGTGTAAGGTGTCCGACCCTTCAGCCCTGCAGCACCCCTGGCAGAATCTGCTGAGTGTCCAGAGACTGGTGATGGCTGGGGAATAAACTGTGCCTTGAGGCATGTGGAGGACAAGCCGGGCTCGTGCTCCTGGGGCACAGTGACCTGGGTGGTGGGTGACACCTGGTGCCTGGCTGGGCTCAGGCAGGGGTGGCCGGTCTCCAGGCAGCCTGTGTGAGGGGGCAGTGCAAAGTGCTGCTCACAAGCACAAGAGGCCGGAAATTGGAGTGACACAGGCACGCTGAGGGGTCCAGGCATGGTGTGAGCAGCACAGAGAAATGTGTAGGCCACGAGGGGAGACGGTGAACAGGAGTTCGGATGATGAGCATGGTGAGACCCAGTGGGTCGGGAAGCTGAGGCAAGAAACTCATTTGGCCGGATACAGAGACCAGTCTGGGTGACATCCTGAGTCCGTCCCTTAAAAAAGAGCAAAGAGGAACCTGAAGGAACAAAAAATCTACGGAGCTCACTGAAGGCATGGAGGCCGCAGATGGAGAGAGAGGGCTGGGCAGAGGCTGTGAATCCAAGCAGAGTCGGGGGAGTCTATGCTGGTGCTCCCAGGAGGATGAGGCAGGACAGACACCTGGAGATCACTGTGAGGAAACAGGAAAAGACCTCAGTGTGAAGAGCATCTGCAAGGGGAGGAGAGAGGCCCAGACCAGTGTGCAGCTGACTTCGTCCCCTCCTGAGCCCTGGAGCCCTGGCCTGAGGCTCCTGGCAGCCTTTCCTCAGCCCTCGGTCTGAGCACAGCCCCTCGCATCCCTGTGGAAGTAGAAGTGATTCACTGGAGGGGGCGCACAGCCCCATGGGAGGGACGAGTCATGTGGGGGTCACACGCAGCGTCCCCCGCAGAGAGCCATGAATGCGGACTGCACAGCACCTGCTGTAGGGATGGGCACCTGCACTGCCTTGCTCTCAGCTGCTGTCTCCCTGCATGCAGCACACTGCAGATGCACGGGTGGGGGCACACCTGAGGCACAGCAGGTCACCAGGTCCCTAAGCCCAGGAAACTACCTGTGACCTGCAACTGTTGCACAATTAGTCCCACACTTTTCCCTGGGCCCAAGCCCCAGGCGCTGTCTGTCCGTGTCCTTCTGTGCTGTGGAGGGAGAGCCACCCTCTCTCTGTCCTGGGCCCTGCACACTCTGGGAAGCCTTCTCTCCAGGAAAGAGGACTATGCTTGGGAGGAGAGGGTACTAGACGTGACCTCGTCCGTCACTGCAGAGCCCTGGTGCTCGGACCCGTGACTGTTACTTCCGGGCCAGTCCTGCTGGGCACTGCACCTGAGCATCCCCGGGCACACAGAAGGTGACATGTCCTGATGTGCACCGTGTCTCCCTCTGGGCCTGGCTCCCTCTGTGGTGTCCCCCACAGGCGGGGCCATCAGAAATGCGTGCTCGGCAAAGGGAGAAGTGCGACTGTCTGTCCTGAAGCCTCCTCTCCTTTCAGCTCCCTGCCTGGCAGCCTGTCCCCAAGGGCTTCCCAGAGGACCCTTCAGCCACCAGCAGTCCGAGGAGCCCAGGGGCTCGTGCATCCCCGGGAAGCTCTGTGTGGGAGCCCAGCTGGGTCAGCGCCCTGAGCATGGATCTGACACAGCGGCCGTGAGCCTTTCCCCCTCCGCCCCCCGCATGGTCGCAGCCCACAGCGATGCTGGAAAGCAGTGGCTGCTCTCGCCAGGTAGGAAGGAAATGTCAGAGGCTCCCGGCTGTGTGTGCATTGCCAGGACGCTGTGTGGGGAGGAGACAGGGCCCCTGCGCTCTCTCAGGGCCACACCGAAACATGAGGTTCTCTAGTAGCCTGAGATGAGCCCTTGGGAGCCTGGCATGCAGCCAGCCTCAGGCCCCGGCCTGCAAGTCACTGCATCTCCCTCGCCAGGAGTGCGCTTTTGTGCATATTGACACTCAGTTCTGGATCGGAGGACATAAAACACAAGCTCCATCAAGTGGCCTAGCGCTTGGACACACCTGACCCGCACTGACATTTTATGCTGTCTTTCATTCCCATCATGGCAGCGGTACCTGATTCCATGCATGCAGCACAATAAACGCTTTGAGTGTGAAAAGTCGAACACCTGAACCTTTCTGATGATTTGACACAACGTGATCACAGCGACACTTCCCTCTGAGCACAGCAGGTTTTCAGGGCCAGTGCACGTCCTGAGCCCAGCCCTGGCTCTGGCAGGCTTCGTGCACACGGTGCGGAGTGCAGGCTGCTCCCTGACCCCCGAAGGGCATCTTCCCATGACTGGGCCGGTCTCGCTCTCCTCTCCCAAGGCTCCCCCTGCAATCAAGTTTGCTTGATTTTCCCTCCTCCTCCTCAGCAACGCACCTCACACATCCCCTAGGATTTCCTGATCTTGGCCGCATGTGCTGTTAGGTGTGGGTTGTCACAACTTTCCTGTTCTTGCACGATCTTACATTGGGTGTCCTTTGCCTCCCTGCAGTCTTATCAGCACTGCTCCTGTAGGAAGCATCACCAGAAAGGCAGGTATCACCGTGTGTAGACGGCATCTCCCCTTGGTGACACTTGTCCAAGGCCACTTTGTTTATTTGGTGAGCATCTTGGGTTGTGTGTGGCACAGAGACGCCCTGGATAACAGTGGGTCCTGGTGGCTGTTCTTATGTTTCAGAGCTGAATGTGCAGGCGTCATGTGGAACAAAGATTCCTCCCAAGGGGGCTGGGGATTTAGCTCAGTGGCAAAAGCGCCTGCCTGGCAAGTGCAAGGTTGTGAGTTCGGTTCCCGGTACAGGAGAAAAACCAAAAAAAAAAAAAAAAAAAAAAAAAAAGATTCCTCCCAAGGCAGAGGGTGAAGCGATTTTAGAGGCAAATGACACCACCCTTGGAACTCAGTCCTTCGGCCCCTCTGAGCCTGTGGCCGCCCTGAAGCAGACTATGAGCCCCGGTTCTGGCAGCAGAGCATGGCCTGCAGAAGCCCCTGCTCTCAGGCTTATGGTGCAGAGGTAATGACATCTGGGCTCCTCTGTGCTCTTACCCCCGACTGCTGTCCCCCTCAGACCCTGCTCCATGCCTGGTTCCTCTCTTATTGTGTGCTCTGCAGCAGCCGCGGGACCCTGTGTGCTCCCTCCTTTGTTGTGCGTGGGCCACCCCCTGCCAGGCGTTTCCTCCTCCAAGTCCTGAGTGCAGTCTCAGTTCTGCTCTTCCCACTGCTGCGGACCCCCTGTCCCGGTCACTGCCACAGGGAAGCCCGCCCTGATTGTCCTCTTCATCCCACGAAGAGCCTCTTTCAAGGCCTGAGCCCAGCTACTTTCCCTGAATTCACACACTCCTTGCCTTGGCTGCCTTGTCCTCCCGGCTTGCCCCACTCCAATGCCTCTTCCCAGGAGCTCTGCCCCATGAACTACGGGCGCACAGCTCCTCCTCTGTGACCACTTTGGGGACAGACTCCATCTCCCCCTCTGAGCTGGGACCCATAAAGGGCGAGTTTAAGTTGATGTGGAAGAGCCCTTATTAGGAACAGGAAATGGAAACCTGGCTGCAGGGGGGAGTCTCATCCTGGCCTACAGTCAGCTTTGTCTCCGTCCCCAGACGCGCAGCCCTGGGCCAGATGACCTGGGTTCCCAGGGTCTGTGTCTGGGCCCCCTGGACTCCTTGAAGCTGATGTCAGCTGGAGGGTTCTGCATGGCACCACGAGGGGCCATCAGTCCTGATGAAGAGGGTGGGGAGCTCTTCAGGTCGCATGGATAAGGAGCTGTCAGGCACTAGAGTCCCTCCTGTGTGTCCCCATTTCCCCCAAATGAGCAGCTGAGTCTGCAGGGCAGCTCCACTTTGTCCACAGACTGAGGGTAGAAGTGAGTATTTCCGTGAACTACTGTGGGAAACGTGGACTTGGAGCTGCATTTTCAGTTCTCTGTGAGTGAATATTATCTCAGGACAAGGTGTGTCTTGGAGCACTCGGACTGTCAAAGGAGGGTTTTGCCTGTGATTCTCAGAGGGAAGAGATGATCCAGATGCCCAGTGTGGAAGGAGCTCTGGGTCAGAGATGTCCAGATGAAGGCTGGTGGAGGAATGGCTGGGTTGCCCACAGACTCTGTAACTCCCATGGACTGTACCTCCCATGTCACAAGCCCTGGATGACATTAACTAAGAGAGTGGTTTAAACACACCTGTGAGGGTCTCACTTACATGGCAAGGGGCAGGGTTTGAACGTCAGTGTCTCACAGAGCTCCTGGCGAGTGTAACACTTTATTCTCATGAGAAGGTCATTGGTCCACTGTGATCTCAGGTCACCAGCATGGCAGGACCCCAAATGTGTGCTCACCGCATGCAAGGGCTGCACACGCACCAGCTGTGCAGGGAGCCTGCCTTCCCCTCCCAGCCAGTCTGTGTCACCCGGGGTCCGTTACACAGAGCCATGGAAGTGGTTGGATTTTGAACCGCATCTGCTCTGCTACAAGAACATGAGCCCAGCGTCCTTGGAGTAAAAACAATATTAGGTTCATGCTCTGTACCCAAAAGATAGTACATGTTCATTACACATAATGGAATTCTTCACCATTTTTGTTTTAATGTATAGAATCTGGTTTACATCTCACCCTATCATTTTCACACCTCTCTGATTAAATCAGCTGCACATTTTTAAGGTCTTACTTTGGGACAGTTATTTCATCTCATTTTCCTTTTTTAGGACAGCATCCCACTCTAGTGCAGGCTGGCCTTTTTACCAGGGCCTCGGGCTCCCCAGTGCTGGGATTATGGGCTTGTGCCACTATGCCCAGCTTTGGTGAGTCAATTATTTTAAGTAAAATCCCCAAATAAAAGTCTTTGGCCTCAGTCCTTTCTAGGAAATATGCTGAGGTGTGAAAATAGCAAGTCCGAGCAGGGCGTGGTGGCGCAGGCCTGTAATCCTAGCACTTAGAAGGGTGAGACAGGAGGATCTTTGTGAGTTCGAAAGATACAAAGTAGGCTCAAGGTCAGCCTGAATTGCATAGCAAGACCCTGTCTCAAAAGAGCAGAGGAAAAAAAAAATATTAACTCAGGAAACGCTGTCTGTGTGAACTGTGTTATGCCACTGTGCACTCCTGCCTAAACTGCTGAAGAACACTCTTTACCCAGGAGCACAGCAGGCAAGGAGGATACAGAGGAGGGACACAGCGAAATTCACGGTCATGTCCTTCCCTTCGGAGATGCGGAGGTGCAGGGAGTACAAGCACTTCAAGGAAGGACCCAGGGCTGTGGCTGACTTCACTGCCCGCCCTGGTCTCCTTCCATTCTGAGTGATACCTTTCTCGTTCTTCTGTGATCCACTTTGGCATGACACTTCTCTCAAGCCTCTGGGTCCTCATCCCCATCTCTCCAGAGTCCTGTTGAGGCTGCCAGATGGGAGCTCTGCTCCGTCCACCATGTGTGTAGGCAGAGGTCCTGGGGCCTGTGCTCCGGCACCAGGGCTGTCAGTGAGGCCTGTGTGACTTTAAAGCTCACCTTCCTGCCCCTGTCCTGCAGCCTCGATGTCTCCTCTTCAGTAACTAAATGACTGGCCGTGGACAGCATCTGATGTCTCTGCAGAGTCCTCCCATTGCTCACACACTCACCCTCCTCACCCCGGGGTGAGGAATCACGGAGGCCCTGTTGTTCTGGGAAGTGTGCTCTCCTGCCTGCAGCAGTCTCTTTCTGAATGTGGAAGTGCGATGCTAAGGTCACCCCTCCCCAGAGCCGTGAAAAGCCCCGATGTGCTCCCCACAGAGAGGATCCCACAGGGCTGGTGTCACTGGCTACGGGTGGGGCAGCCCAGGGTCCTGTGTCCTGCACTGGAGTGAGACCACCAGATCAGGAGGGTTTCCTCTCCCCTGCGGCTGTCACCTTCCCCTCCAGGCTTCCTGAGCCCCCGCCCTTCAGCGCTCTCTCCCCAGGATCCCAGGGGACCTCTGGTCTCTGTCAGCAGTGAGCGGAACCTCCAGGCCCCTGTGAACAGGACCTGACCACGACTGTCCCTTCCTTTCCCTCTGCCTCTCTCAGGGCCCTCCTGCTCCAGCCGAGAAAGATGCTGCTCATTTAAGGTGATTGAGCACCAAGGCAACCTTCTGCACTCTTCCATGACATCCAGCAAATAAATATCATCAGAACCCAAGAGCCCTCCTGGGTGAGAACTGCATTCACAACCGGCAACAGGACCAGATGTTTGTTTGTTACTTTGTTTTATTATTTTGCACGTATTTATTTATTTTATTCTAAAGTTAAAATAAAATTTCAAAACACATCTGTGGATATCATTTGAGAGAGTTCCAGTGTTTGACTTCCAGTTTCCTCTATCTCGTGTTCTGGGCTCGTCCTGGGTGGGCTGTGTGTCTGGGGTTGCATCCTGCTTCTGCATCTTGTCGTCTTCTATTGTTTCTTTTTCTTTTTTTTTTAAAATAAAAGGAGGAAAATATTAACAGACAGTCGACATTTTACAAAATAACAAAGGAACAGTACAGACAGTACAGAGTTACAAACAGAGTGGTAGGGAATTAACAATGCTTGTTGTATTACATGTTGATATCTTCAAAGTTGTTTCTCATGAAAACAGATATAGACATACAAAGCTGATCAACCAAGGACTCATTGACAGTTTCTTTCAGCAAAGAAATACAAGACAGTAGAACAGCCACGTTAACTATCCTGCATATACATACATACAAACTTTCTCTTTCTTTGCCTTCTCTTTTCCCATATCCCAGTTACCCTTTACCTTTGAGTGCTTTCCTATCAATTTGCAATGTCTATCATATCTCCTAGTTTAAATTAATTCTTTCAGGCTGTACACTAGAGAAACAATGCGGTGCTTGCACATGTATGTTTGATTTATTTCACTTATGATTATGGTCTCTAGTTGCAACCATTTACCTATAAAAGCCTCAAGTTTATCTTTCTTTACAGCTGAGTAATATTCCATTATATAAAAGTACCGGAAGCTAAGCAGGGTCAGGCCTGTTTAGTACTTGGATGGGAGATATATTTTTTCTTTTCTTACTTTAGTTCATTTTCTGTGTTGCTGCTTGCCG